TCTCATAAGATTTCCAAGTTCACTTCAATTCCCTTAGCGATCTGGTTAAACTTTTAAGCTAACTCTTACAAAAATAATGTAAAGCAATGTACAATGAACTATTTATAGATCTCTTTTGTCATAAGAAATTTCCAAAATCATGCTTATCATGTTAGCAAGTGTATAAAATCTTAGGATTTTGGGTCATTTGTTCCATACATCAAGTTGAATAACAAGAGCTGTCGGAAGGACAGCACGCTCGACTATTCTAAGTGCTTGATAGTAAAAGAACCTTGATAATGTTAAATTTTTTAAGATCACAAAAGGTCTAAATTTTTTTTAATAAATTCATGTTATAGGCCTTAGAGAGAGTCTAATTATACAGTATTGGCTTGACTATTCGGAAGGTAATGTCACAAGGTTGTTTTATTGAGTATAATAATACTAATTACCTATGAATACATAAATTTGACAGAAAAGGTACAAAGGCTTCTAATTAAGATGTTTTATCAAGTAAATCACTGCTTTAAAAAAGTTTATTATTATGAATGCATAAAATTGTCCCAAAAAAAAGGCACAAACCCTTCAGTAGTAATTGAGATAACAGCTTACAAGCAAAACTTTTCCATGAAGTTCTAAGTTGAAAAAGAGGAGAAAAATCAGCCTAAATGCAAGATAGATGGATCTTTGTCAGTGACCTACATTTATGACCCTAAATGCATATGTGAAGTTTTAAATAAATATCTTTAATAGTTATTGAGATATGTAAAACTTGCATGTAAACATTAACCAAGAGACTAAGTAGAAAAGGGATATGAATTAGAATAAGCCTAAATGCAAGATAGAGTTATGGAACTTGGTCAGTGGCATACAATTATGACCCTCCAATTATGACCCTAAGTACATGTGTAAAGTTTCAAGTAAATATCTTTGAAGACCTTTAACCTTTAACCAAAATTGCTAAGTTTCAAAGGGGCAAATTATTCTGCAAATATTGCAGGCAGAGTTATGCAATTTTGCAAACTGATGTACATTGTTACTATAAAAAAGTATTGTAAATTTCAATTGAATATCTCAAGCAATAATTGAGATATTTGACTTTACAAAAAAACTTTAACCAAAATTTCTAAGTTCCAAAGGGGCATAATTCTGTCAATATTGTAGGCAGAGTTATCCAACTTGTCAATCTGATGTACCTTGTTACTATAAATAAGTATTGTAAGTTTCAGTTGAATATCTCAAGCAATAATTGAGATATTTGACTTTACAAAAAACTTTAACCAAAATTTCTAAGTTAAAAAGGGGCATAATCATGTCAATATTGTAGGCAGAGTTATCTAACTTGTCAATCTGATGTACCTTGTTACTATAAATAAGTATTGTAAGTTTCAATTGAATATCTCAAGTAATTATTGAGATATTTGACTTTACAAAAAACTTTAACCAAAATTTCTAAGTTAAAAAGGGGCATAATTCTGTCAATATTGTAGGCAGAGTTATCCAACTTGTCAATCTGATGTACCTTGTTACTATAAATAAGTATTGTAAGTTTCAATTGAATATCTCAAGTAATGATTGAGATATTTGACTTTACAAAAAACTTTAACCAACGCAGACGCGGACGCGGACGCTGACGCCGACGCCGGGGCGACTACAATAGCTCTCATATTCTTCGAATAGTCGAGCTAAAAACGATGATTCTAGAAAGAAGCTGGTTATTAAAATAGAGATATGCATTTTGGTTTGTCGTTTATCTAACATTTTTATCGCTTTTACCATTAAAAAATGTATGAGCATTTGTATTATTAATAGTTTGCTACACTGACTGGGTAACTTTTTGACTTTTCTAATTTTGTTATAGTTTCAGCTAAACGGTTAGTTATTGTAGGACAAACTATCATCATTGATTATATAAAATTCTACATCTTGTCTCAAAAATGTAAATTTAATACACAATTTTATAGCATTTCATGAAAACGAGATAACTTTTTGTAAAAGACGTATTTTTACTCCGTTAAAATGAAAAGTGTTTCTACGAAATAATATTGTCTTTTAAACGAAAAAGAATATCACGTTAATATCAATTTCAAATAATAATTATGTTTCTTATTGGTGTTAATCAAAAGCATTTACTGTTTTCAGTCGTTTCCGGGTAAGAATCTAAAAAACATGCAATAAAAGACTCGACGAAAAAAATATAAATGTATGCAATATATTCATCAAAAGAAGCTTCCAGTTTTTACGTTTCTGTTTAATTTTCTGATAACAATTAAAGATATGTAAGTCTTTATTCTTAATCAGGTGTATTTTTATGAATATAATTAGGAATCATGAATATCAATAAAGATAAAAAGTCGAAAATAGGATATTTGGTAATGGTTCCGACGTGCTGAAAAACTTGTTGCTGCCTAATGCTCTCTGATAAAAACATGAAATCAATTTATAATCTGTGTTTAAAATCTCTGGAAGAGATTATGAAAGAGATTTCCTCATGAACAGCATCCATAGATAATGCATGCATGTGGAATGATTTTATAAATTTAGAATTCATGCATACCAAAGGGCATTTATACAAGTTTTGCATTTGCTGTTTGTTATTTTTTCACTGAAACAAGGAAGCTGTAAAATTCAAATTGAAATGAAATCGAAATCTTTTCGACTAAAGTTTTTGAATGCTAACAAAATTTAAAAACCTTGAAATATTTCAGTTCCATTTATCTTTTTCATTGAAAGCTCGTTTTTGCTCAATTTGATGATGATTTATATGTTTTCAAGATTGGAAGTCGTTTTTAGGATGTTAAGCTACTTTGCTTAGTTTGATTCCTGATCGGCTCTTAGATGTTTTAATAAAACTGTTTTGCATAAAAAAATTATCATAAGTAAAAGGGGACATCATAACAAACATTTTTGCCTAATATAGAAAGAAATATCTGTTTAGAACTCTTACAAACAGGAAACAACTTTGAAGCAAAAAAAAATATACTAATAAAATTTGGTATATAAACAGTTAAATACCCCCACCCTCGCCCTCCCCCTCAAAAATGGTAATTAACATAAAAATGAAAAATAAAATACAAAATATAAATAAATAATGCTTTGTGATTATCTTTCTGAACAACAAACAAACCATCATATGGCTTTTATATTTTATGCTACAAAATAAAAGTGTCATCGGTTATGTTTTATGCATACGACACGTGTCAAATATAACAACACGTTTTTTAAGTGTTGTAATTGTCGGTGGAACATTAGTTATGCATATACATAGTTAATGCTCTGATAATCGAATTGTTAAAAAGCAGAGTGTTTTTGAATTTGAAGACATACTGCCCTAAGCAAAAACATATTGAAAAAAAATTGAATCGTTTTTACCACATATACTCATTGATGTTTATCTAACCTTTTTTCTACGAACAAATGTTACTTTGTTTGCAAATCTAGAAAGTTTTATATTGTAAGCAAGTAGTATAAGCATACAAGAAGCAATGATAATGAATGATAATGAAATATAATAACATCCTTAGATGTTTAAAATCAGTAAAAGGGATAGTTTACTTTAGGGAAAGTTTAAGTACATTCTTCCTGATAATTATGACTTCCTTTTCTGAAAAACAGGTACTGCGAATTCACCTATATTCGTGTGCATGAAATTTCGTGGTTTAATAAAAACGAGCATTAACGTGGGGTCTTAAATTCGTGGATTTTTATTTTCAAATAAAATGAAAAAAAAATGAAATAAATAACATAATACAAAGTAATCTTACACTTAACCGCCGCGCATATTTACTTGCCGCATGTACTTTGTAGTATTAGTATTATTTTATTGACATTATCTCTAAAATATATGTTTGGGACATACAATTTAAGTTGAATTTAAGATTAATAGAATAAATAAAGTATAAAAGGCACAAATGATACACAGATAATTTCATACATTGCGTCCTCTAGGAAAACATATTAATCTAAACATCTAAATATATATTTATTTGCACAATGTGTTAAAGCAATATAAGGTTCTATTATATCTTTATACTTGTTCTGCTTCATATTTTTTAAATTGCCTGTCAATGACTTGTAATAAATGGACGTGTTATTTGAATATAGGGGTAATTTTATCATTAGTTAGGATAGAATCCTATTGTTAATATTAATAAACCAGTAAAATTATTTAAAATATGTATATAGATTTTTTGTCATTCCATTAGACTTGAAAGATTATTGTTCTAGTTTATTTGTAACGATCTTCTTTTGTTCTTTTAGACATAAATATACGGTTTCCTTGTCTGTGCCGAAGAATTCAAAATAAATGCTCCAAACTAAAATGCACATAAACAAATATAATATGCTGTGTGGGTCATTTATACATACCATGCAGAGGCTATGTCTACATGTAACAGATATGAAAATTGTTTTGAACATCTTACTTATGAATGTTTTTAAGTAAATTTATATAATCGGATTTATATTGTTAGTTATACAAACTTATTGATATGTAAACGTTTGAAAGGTTATATCATACGAGCCGCAAGGCAAACAACCGTTTTTACTCTGCTATACAATATAACGAATTTAAATTACTGGGTAACTGTTTATAGCTGTAGTTAAATACGAAAAAAAGCCGTGATTATAAATGATATATACCTTACAATTATCAAAAAAAATCTGCGTTACAATCGTGCAGTATTATAAACAATGATAATATGTCGTTTTATCCGTAAGTGATATATAAGACAGGTGGTATCACATATTAATTAAATGTGAAATTTACATTAACAAATACTGCATAGTCTGCGTAAATGTGATAAAATTTCAAAGTTATATCAATCGTATAAGCTAAGAAAAGGGCGTATGGAATTGGCATTTGTCTAATAAATTAAATTAATTTATTGCTGTATGAGATGCTAGAAAGGTAGCTTTGATATTTTCAAAGTTGTTATTGGAAACTCACATAGCGCCAATGGCATGTAAAGCATCCATAGATAAAACGCAAAACTCTTCCACCGCGAAACTATTGAAAGTGTATGTAATAGTCTTCCTTAAAGCTTCAAGCGTAACTTTTGCTATTTTCTAGAAGCAAGGAAGTAGGGAACGTGAGAGAAACAAAAATAATATTTTTAAATACTATTCATTTGATATTGTTGGTTATTGCGTTAAAATACCTGATTTCGTCATGAAGACTGGATATAAAATATGAAGATAAGTCTTTGTAACATAGTGCGGATTAATTTGATGTTTAAGGTAAATATGCTTTTTAGAAGATTTTATTCAAGGGGTTGTGTATTATTGCTAAAAGTGTAAACAGCTTGGTGTCTTGAGATAAATAAACCACATCCTAGTTATGTGAAGATTTAACGGAATATGGCATAATTACATTACTTAATTATGTGGTATTTATGTCCTTTTATACATTCAAAAATAATTTGAAAATTGAATAAAGCACTTATTCGTATTGTTTTTGTTTTAAAAGAAAAAAAAGAGATCATCTTCTAGTTTCTGAAAGTTGAAGTTTATAGGTGCAAAGTCAGGCTTTATCTATTTTTTGGCATAAACACTGTGCAAAATCATCTGTGAAAATGCACAATATTCAAGACTGTACAAAAACAAGATCTTAAACGAAACACCTACTAAATTATAAATCTTCTTTTGTACATTAAATCAATTTTATTATAATTATTTAAAAAAAACAATGTCATTTGCGATAGTGGTATTCCCCAAACCATATGTTCCGAATAATTTCATGATGATTAAGTTATCAAAACTGTTCACTGAGAGGCATAAGGCAGACTTTTCAGTGTGTGTCATTTCCCGGTCTACCGAATCAGAAAATGGCTAAGCATTACGTACGACAACTGGATATCATGATAAGCATATTTCTAGTTAGTTTATGACCTGTCGAGCGTGTATCAGTTTAGGTTTCTTGAATATTCCACGACATATATCTTAAATGGACTTATCCATCTTTCAGTCTGGACGAAACGATTTATAAGTTTTTGTGAGATTTTAAAAGCATGTACTGATTGAATAGCGAACAGTGTAGGCTTTGATAAAACTGGCTGATATTGGTCCTCATTTGTAACATGTAGGGAATCAGTTGTAATTAAGTAATCAACAAATTCAAAATATTCTGTTATTTACTATTTACGGTATATATAAGTCAGCTTAAAAGTGAGGTTCATACATTATACGTCTAAAATTTTGAATTTCAATATTATCTAACAAACATTTATAAGCATCCTTGTAGATCTAAAGATACTGGATGTTATTGAGATGTTGCGTTTCAACGTTATTCTTGCATAAAAAAGACACATTTGATTCACTTATTCAGCGTTTCGTTGTTTTCGTATTCGACATGCTTTTTTAGTCCTAATGTGATGTCATTTGAAAGTTTTATTTTGAAAATGAAACAATCGGGGTCGTCATTGTTGTTTCCTGTTTTTAACATTTTGCACTGAGTCACACATTTGTAAAACGTGCAACAATGGGCCATGCTCCCTTGATTTTATCGTTAGAGCATGTTTCCTTCTTGGTTCACGTTTAACTGATTTCGCAATTTGTATGCAAGAATATAACTTTAAATTATAGTCAAATTTATTAATCTTTCTTTTGATGAATAACAGGCAAACACCTTATATTTTTAGTAACTATCCTTTATTTGCCAAACTTGTTTCATATAACATGTCTTTTCTGTAACTTATAACAGATTAATATTGGTTATTTATAATATATTTGAGATACATGGAATTCTTAGCCACAATCTGGAATCAATAATAAGTAAAACCTGTGTTCTTATTTATCTAGCTTTATATTAATGCTATAGCTATTCATTTTTAAGCATTGAAATTACAGAACACGATATAGTTACTCTTGTCAATAGTCGATAGTTTATTTCCCAGTCTTTTGAAGTCCTACACAGGAATAAGTCATCGTTTATAATAAGGCTCTTTGAATATACCATGCAAATGTAATTTATTAGAAAGAAATAGTTTTTGTAAAGGGAGGCAATTTATGAAGAATATTTTTATTTGCAAATTATTTCTGTCTACAAAACACACAAAGTGTATAGGGTGTAATTACAGATAAAGTGGCTTTGGGAAATTTAATGCCAAACTTATTTCTTACTTTGTACTAATTTATTCGGATGAAGGTTATCGCAATTTTAGTTATCTTTCAAAACAGATATTTACTGACATACTTTCATATTTAATAATTATTCAATTCTTCTAGTACAGTGGATTTTTGTATGTGTGTTTGCCTGTATTCCTTTTGTAACAAAGAACCTGGCTTGTTGTGTTGGCAGTTAAAGAAATAATGATATTGTCTCACGATATTATTGATATAGATAGTTTTATATTTAATGACAAATGCTCTTTAAACCAAAACTATCATAAAAGATGTTTAATTTGCTTCTGAAAGGAACTAATAAGTTGTAAATATTATTAATTTGTTTCCTTTTAATCTTTCTTTCTCGATCATTTCATCATTCCTGATATTAGGTGAACGTCTTAGAGAACGGTCATTTTGTCTGTAACCTATTTTTGTTTATTCATTGTACACAGGTAAGAAAAGTGGTGAAAAATAAACAGGTATGGATTGTAATGACATAACTGTAAAAACACATCTGCTGATTTATCTTCTGAACCAAATTATAAAATTTCAAACATTTATTTGTGTAGCTAATGTCTACATTTTCGGTAGTTTTACATCACATCAAACAGTATCTAAGACGATAGAGCATACACATTTCTAACCACCGGCTGTTGAAACATACAAAGTGTCAATAGTGTAGCCAAAAATCTAATAAAACGAACCAGAGCGGGAACAAACTATTAATTTGTTTATATTGCCCTGTTCTGTATATAATAACTGCTCTTTTCGTGTGTAAATGTTACTTCTAAAAACAACACAGTAACTCTGTAAATATATATTTAGACTACAATGAGCTTTTTATGGTTTTTCTTTAATATTGTCTTATTCGGTTTATTTTTTCAAAGATGAATGTAATAAAATATTCTTTCACTAATTAAATCATGTTATAAAAAACGTTAATTTTGAAATAGCCTGACTTGTCTGTTTAATGGATCCTTCCAAAGCATGAAGGCACCCGGTAGATTATAAACTCATTTCAAATTTTTTAAATATCAAGAATTGTCAACTTCGTACCAAACCTTTTAACAAGTAACAATATTTGTTAATATTAAGAATTAATATTATCTATTCATCCTTCATGACAGTTTCTTGTAACAACACAGACAAATCAATTGTTCTGTTTGCTTTTAGTATAATTTGGGAATACCTCTTTATTGATACTTGTTGAACATCCATTAGTGTTGTTGTAGCAATTGCTATGGAGTTTTAAATAAGAATTGTACGTATCGATAAGTGTTTCATATTTCCCGGATAATAATAACAATTTTCATTTATATAAATCATATTTGTATGATAAAAGCGAATAACTATTCTTTGTACTTGCTTTTAAAATTAGCTTTAATGCTAAACGATTGCGCTTTTTTTACAAACGAAAAGCAAAAGATTATTTAAACTGATCATTCTTATATCTGCAACTACAAGTAGCGTGTATTTACAATGCATTTCGTTCTTTTTCCCTCTCTGTTATCTATCATATAATTAATATGTAGGCATGTTGAAGAATGAATAATATATCGTCTGGAAAGGTATTGTTCCTTGTGGTAGGTAACATATGACAAATGTGCTGTCCGTTGTCTCGAAAAGTATTGCTATGAAATAATTTATATAAATATTATACAAAATAGGAACTTAAGGTTAGCAATTTATCGCTCGCATTTGTAAAATTCTATAAGTTGTATGTAATCTATTTTAATTATATAAAGTACCTTAAGTTATATAAAGCCATTGAATGAAATCTACATACTCTTTCCTCATTACAACAGTATTTTTATTTCCATAATTTATTTGAATGTGTGCTGCTGCTTCAAGTCATATTGAATTTCATTTACTTGAGAGTAAACAATTATTTATTATTTTATTACCCAAAACTACAAATTTGAAGGTAAATGTTTCTTTTGAAGCACACTTACAGTAACAGTTTACTTATTAGTCAAGCAGGTTTTACATAAAAGTTTTTGTAATGTAAAAAAAAATATTTAAGTAAAATCATTTTAAACTTTTGTCAATAAAGTTTATCGCTTAAAGTATTTCTGACATCTGTTTGTCAAAATATTAAATAGACTAATAAAATGTATGTGAAACTTTTAAGTCTATCACACAACCTATTTGTTTTCAGCTTGAAAGTGATTTAGTTCTCGAACAAAATAAATGGTGCAACCACTAAAATAGATTAAAATCAAAAACGGTTGATTTGATTAAGTTGATGTGGGCATGTGATCACCAGTTTTAATTTCAAATGCTTATTTGAAATTTAGTAGTATTTCTGTGTACAAAAATAAATCTTTATATTTTTTATAATACATTTTAGAAACTTAACCTTTAACCTTTTGGAACAAAAGTGTTTAACCTTCGCTACCCCAATTATAGCGCCAGTAAGTGAGGCTTAGGTCTTTACTAACCAATTTTACATTTTTATCTTAATATCAAAATTGACTATGAATAGTGCGGAAAATTTAACCTGAAAAAGTCAATATTAAATCTTCAGCAGTTTATGTGTTTAAGAAATGGAATACTTCATACGTAATTATTACATGTTTCAGTTTACTTATTCCTTCTATTTGTAACCCTTCCCTATTTCTTTTTGTTCAAGGAAGATTTATATGGCTCATTCTTTTTTTGCTTGAGCAATGGACTTTTACCTATTCATAAGGATTTTCGCCTGGTTACTAAAGACCTTTGAGGTGCATTAAGTATAAACTTATATAGAATGACTTGAGTACACACCTCAACCAATTAGATTTGCCATATAAATACATATTTCTCGCTGTGAAATAATTTACCATATATCCTGAAAGTCACAAATGACAAACATGAACTCTTATTAACCTCTATAGACAAGGCATATCTACGTAGCTTGGTGAACTATTTTGAAAGCAACACGCAATACATCACAGTTGGAATTTGTGTTAAAAGTTGCGTGTGTTTTCTTCTGCTAACTTGCGTCTTATTTTTGTTCTCTTTTCGTTGACTTTAAAGCTATAATTTAATGCAAGTTTACAATGCTTACCCAACGTTCAAACACATTGATATAACAATGTATAATATAACTTTTTAATACGTGAATTCGATGCAAAAGACATACTTAAATAGAC